GGCATGAAGGCTGAGGCCATGCCCGTGCTCCTGGCGTGTCTTCTCCATCCCCACAGCAGAGTCTGCCCTGCTCTGGCCTGTGTTCAGTAACAGCTGGTGAGTGGGTTTCTGTGCATTCTGAGGTCAAAGGAGGTGATCCCCAGTTTGTCCAAAGCCAGGAGCCTCTGTGATCTGGGTTGGGGTGGGATCAGGAACGTCAGGCTTTGATCTGAGGCCCTGTGAAAGTTCAGCAGGAATTCTTGCTCACTGAGGAGCACACTGGTTGGATATTTAGGAAGAGGGAGGTTCTGCAAGCTACCAAAATGTGGCAGTTATGTTTATGCTAAGACTTATGTGGGATAGGAGAGAAGAAAAGCAAGCAACACTATTAGCCTCACTTGGTAAAAGCAATTTCTTCACTGTTCCTTCTATCTGCCAAAGATTTGCAGTTCGGTCAGTGGAAAGAAGTTGCTTGAGTTTGGACTTGGGGCTGGAGAGATGGGGAGACGGGAGATGCTGAATTTGATGGATCCAACGCAGTAGCCTGATGAGAACATTGGGGCACCATTGTTGTGCTTGTAGCAGAATAATGAAATCCGGGTGGCACACCCTTGCAGTTGGTGACTCTGCCTGTGACCGATTGTTATTTGAGCAATGAGAGCTTTGATTTTTTTTTTAAGTATGGATTAATAATGGTGGCTAAAAAGAATGATTTGTTGTGAGAGCCCTATGGGCCTTCTTTCTGCTCATTACTTTGTACTCAAGAGCTTCCTTATAGTGACTTTTTTGATCCACGAATACTTATTAAAATCTCAACATTGCTACTGTGCAAGCCATTGTTCCTGACACTTTAGGTGGAAAAGGTCTGGTAGGAGACATGACTTTTGCCCTTGGAGAGTGGACAGTATGTCTGTAGAGACACACATAGCTCCAATGGAAAGCTTCAGTCTGCAGTCACAGTGGGAGCATGATCTCATGGAATTGTGCTATTTGTGTGATCAGGAGCTGTCAGGGAAGGCTTCGAGGAGGACGTGGTGTTGGGTTTGACAATAGAATTGGAACGGGGGTGGGGGGCGCCTGGGTGGCTCAGTTGGTTAAGTGACTGCCTTCGGCTCAGGTCATGATCCCGGAGTCCTGGGATCGAGTCCCACATCGGGCTCCCGGCTCAGCAGGGAGCCTGCTTCTCCCTCTGACCCTATCCCCTCTCATGCTGTTTCTCTCTCTCTCTCGCTCAAATAAATAAATAAATAAAATCTTAAAAAAAAAAAAAAAGAATTGGAACGGGGGAGGTTCTTGGTGGGTAGAATAGCTTTGGTATAGGAGCAGAGGTGGGACAAAGTTCACATGTGAATTTGGCACTGTCCCAAGCAAGTGAATGCTACTCATGAACAAGCAGGGCAGCCGGCTGGAGCAGACAGCCCCGATGACGAAGGTCCAGCTGGCTGAGATTGGGGGGCAGATCTCTCATGGGAGTCTTCTTGCTGGTGTGAGGTCTTCTCAGGGGGAAGGACCAAGCCCAGGGCCCTCTAAGTTGGACCCAGAGTTTTCATTCAAACTCATCAACTTTTCAGCCCTCTGATTCAACAGACTTTGTTTGCTCATCGCCATTTAAACATGAGCGTGACCAGACCCTGATGGGTGCTGGGGGGATGCCAGGAGATGGAGAGGACACTGTCTCTGCCCTCAGTCTGGTAGAAGACTTTGTAAGAACTTACGAAAACCAGCGGAGGAGTAGCGGAGGACAGTGGCCTAGGCCTAACTGAACTGCAGCGGGAGCCCAGGGAAGGCCAGAACATCAGGGGCTGGACACATCCCAGAGAGCTTCAGGGAGCAGGCGGTGCATGCACTGAGTCCTGAGCACTGCAACATTCTTGCATAGGTTCAGAGCCATCTTCAGAGAAGATACTCAACTTGGTAATGTAGAGGCAGAAAGAAGACCACTGCCCAGAGACCAGGGTTCTCTGGAATGTCAGGGGACAAAACCGATGAAGTGGGGCCCTGCGAGAAGGTGGCCAAGGCTGCATGTTGAGATGGGAGCCATGACCAGTTTTCAGAATGCAAGGGGAGTAGATGCGAGGAGCAGAAGGATGTGCCAATCAGAGAACGTTCACACATACCACACAAGAGAGAACCGCAACATCTGACTGTCCCATCCACCACTGAGCCTTGTCTGCCACCGACTCTTCAGTCTGGGGTTCAAAAGAGGCATCTTTAGAATAAACAGTAAACATAAGATCCCCATACAAGCATTCAGAATGGGGATCAGCCACTCTGGGGAACAAAAATGCTCTGCTACTGGCATTCATCAACAGGGGCTTAATGTATAATTGGAGAAAGACATATAAGTTTTCATAACAATGCAGTATTTAAATGGCAGTTCAAGATTGCTGAAGGAGAAATATAAAGGAAGGGAAATGGAGCTAATATTTGTTTAGCTCTGGTAGGCCTAGCATCCCCTTTGTGGCAGAAACACAAACATGTAGGTGTCAGATTATACTTTATATTCAAACAATAGTGAACAAAGCAATTTTGGAATCAGATGGTTGAGAAGTTGAGGGACTTGAATTAGGACTGAACAGGGAGTGGGGTCAAAATTAGAGGCCCTTGAGAGAAAGACTATGGAATTTGTTATTTGTTGGATTGTTTAGTTTATCCCCTTTGCCTTCAGGTAAGTCTATCATTTTCATCCCCAATTTACAAATGGTAGGGTGGAGGACCAGAGTTTAAGTTGACCACTAACTCTGGGTATTTAAAGACTGGTGGCATTATGAGTCAGTGGAAAGTAAATGACATTTGGAGTCAAAGAGCACTATCTCAGTGATTTAAATTAATTTCTCAACTTCGGTTTTCTTATCTTTAGGATGGGCACATCTCAGAGTTAAATCCAAGAAAAAACCTAAAGCACCCATTATATACTAGATGCATGTTAAAACTTAAGATCATTTTCTTTGCCAGGTGTCACTCTCTCTTCTGCTTGGACAGGAAATATTATGATCACAGTTACTTCTTACAGGTCTACCATATTTCAGCTACTCGGGTGCTATTCTGCATATGTTACTTACTGTTGTCCTTGGACAGTTCTGTGAAAAGACTAGGAGGGCAGGTGAGAGAGCTGATGCCCAGGATTTGAAGCGATGTGGTGAGTCAGATGGCAAAGACTGGTCTTAGAGCTCACATCTGTAGAAGTAGCCAGGGGTGCTCGGTTAAAAGGTGGCATCGCTTTGTATTTTAGAGACGTTATCACGTAAAAGTAAGACTACAGGCTTTGGAATCGTATAAACCCTGAATTTGATTGTGGATCTGGTAGAAATAGTGTGGGCCCTTGAACAAGTTATTAACCTCTCTGGACTATTATTTCCACATCTGTGAAATGAGGACAGGTCTTCCATATAGCAGGGCCGCTGTTTCGATTAAACTCATAATGCCTTTTGTGCTCATTGGTTGTGTTTACACCCTTACTCAGGGCGAGTGCGTGCTTTCCTTGACTGCATGGAGGAGCACAGGCAACAGGTGATACGCCAGAGGTAGAGCTTGCCCTACGAACTTGGGGATTGGCCCAGCCAGAGCTTTAAAGATCTTTCCCCAGGGGCCCCAAGGCTCATGCTGTTGTGTTGTGTTATTGGTTCCCAGAGGAGGCACTGTTTTTGAAGCTAGAGCTGGAACTGTTGGTTAATGCATAATGTGCAGCTTCAGGCCTCAGAAGTTTGATTCTGCTTCTCTCCCTATCGTGGAGATCCCTGAACACCGGGGCTGATCCTTAGTTTTGCATTAGGCTCAGCCAGATGGAGCCACAGACCCAGCACGATCTGTAAGGAGGTGGAAGGTACCAGTCCAGCCTTTGGAGGACTCTGGTTGTCAAGTTGAGGAGACAAGGCTTAGCACCTGAGAATGTCAGAGCTGGAGGGGGTCGCAGAGTTCACCTTATTTCACTCCATTCTACAAATGAGGTTGGGGAGATCCAGGGAGAAAAAGGAACGTTCCCAAGGCCACTAACTCCAGTTGGCAGAGCAGGGAATTGAGCCTGTAATTTCTACTAAACTCAGTCATTTTCCTCTATAAGACAACCTGGGAAGAAGAAAAAAACAATACTCAAACAACATCAAACACTCAAGTTAGCAGGTGCAAATTAAACTATTTGTATGTGCTTCCCATTGTATTGGGAGATTGGGGAGGTTGGTCTCCAACCCCTGTCCCTCAGGCTTTACTTGGGATCTGTGAAGAGAGGCAGCAATTAGCCAAACACCAGCTTAGATGACACAGACTAGGGAGGAAATCAAATTTACCAAAAAATTTGAGCATCCACCAAGGTGATCCCAGCATGTTCTTTCATAAATATCTTATTTAATCTTCAATTACTTCTCAAAACAACCCTTGAGGTAGGTTTATAACCCAATTTCCAAATGAGACTTGAACAGTGTAAACATATTTTCTAGGAACAGTCACTAAGTGGGAAAGAGAGGCTAAGTAATCTAAACATGTGACATCAGATCGGTGCTACTTCCATTCTTCTTTTCAAGGGGAAACATGGCTTGGACACTGTCTGCCGGATCCTTACTGTGTAGGCGCTCCTTGTGCTCTGAAGTGTGTCAGAGGTCCATGAGAAACCCAGCCCCTACCCTTGTGGAGTTCCTGGTCTGGTGGGAGAGATAAATAAGTAAATGGAACATTGTAATACAGTTTGCCAAATGCTTTCATAGCAGAATGCCTAGGGAAGTGAGAGCAAGACCATCTGTGAGTGTGTGTGTGTGCGTGCATGTGTGTGCATATGTACACACAAGGGAAAAGGAATGGAAAAGGAAGGTCTAGCCGGCCTTCATGAAGGATGTGAATCTTGACCCAAATCCTGAAGGATGACTTAGAGGTGACAATGTAGAGAAAGGAGAAAGGGCAGCTGGAGGAATTAGTAGGGAATCCCATGAAGTGATGCAAATCAGGGGCCTTGTAGCTCAGCAAACACTGTTGGGGAATGTTGGGGGGGCGTGCAGCACTCAGGGAACACTGCTTGGAGGAGGTGATCTGTGATCAGGAAGGTACCACCCAGGTACATGGCAGAAAAAAGCCACTGAGTCTGACCTTCATTCTTTGCCATGGGCCACGGTGTGTTTGTAGGGTTAGAGAGCCGTGGTGCAGAGCCACCTTTGCCCTTGCTGATTGAGAGCTGGGTAAGGGTTGGGTCACTTGATCAATTTACCAGTGTTGATGGAGCATTTACTCTGGGTGTTTCTGCAGCAGGAAGAATTTCAGGGACACATCACTCGGAGTCATGGGCAACTGAGTCAAATGGCTTTTGGTGGCCTCTGACACGGTCTCTCATTCAGCTTTTACTCAGCGAATAATTTGAAGTGTTGCTCCATGGATCAGGGGGTGGACTAGACTCTGGGGATTCCATGGTGAGCCAAACAGACATAGTTTTTGCCCTCGGGGACTTACCATCTTGTGCAGGAGGAGATGGGGTGCAGAGTTACAAGCAAGAATGGCACGAGTGTTTATAAAATATAATAAATGCCAGTGAATAAAAGCTCTGTGCTGTAAAGGCACAAAATAGGGAGTCCTGATCTGGCCGTGAAGCTCAGGGAAGTGCCATTTGACCTGGGCCTGAGTAATGAAGACAGGAAGACTTGGCTCAGGCCAAGTCCATCAAATGGGAAAGACCACTCCTGACTCCCCACCTAAATACCTTAGGTGACATAAAGAAAGATGAACACTCATCCACCCCCAAAACCAAAGGCAGACTATCAATCTCTTGAAAGTATCTGAGGAGGGATGCTTATAACTTTAGGCCAGTGAGCCTAGGTGGAACTACATTAGCTTCCCTAGCTGTCACGAGGTAGGATTACCCTCCATCCTTTTGCACCATTTGCCTGTTTGCCTTCCAAGATCGGAAACTCCTGATTTCTGTCAACCAGAAAAACTGGCAGTTGTCGGGTCTCCTGCATGGGCAACTTTAATAAGACGACTGGAGATGGTTTCCTTCCTACTGGCGTTATACATAATCTCAAAAGTCTACAGCTTTCAGGAAACAAATGGAAAAGACAGAGGGAGGGAGGCTTGGGAGGAGTGGAAGCAGGGCATTGACTTCTAGGCAGAGACGGCCCCTCAAGTCCAGCTCTGAGGGAGACATAAAGAGCCCTTGTCACAATGCCTGTTGGGCATTTCAGCTCCTCAGAGTGTCAAAGAATCCGGCAGAAGAAGCCCCAGAGTCCAGCAAAACAGTCGCAGGTAGATGTCTACTGTCAATGGCTTCCTAGTAAATGCTTAACGCCCTGTTCTCCAGATTTGGTTTTCAGCTGCTATTTGCGGAGGTTGCTGATTCCTGTGGTGTAAACGCTCCCGCCGTAGCCAATTTTCAAGCAACCAGCCTGACCCCATTGCATGTGGGGCTGGGAAGAGAGACCCAGGAGAGGCCCTCAGGAGCCCCTCAAGCCTCGCTCTAGCACATGGCTGTTACATTCGCCAGAATCCGAGAGGGTGGGATCACCGATAACAGCAACAGCCCTAGACAAGGATTTGACCTCCTTCCAGATGGACGGACCGTAGAGACAAAAGCAGCCCAGTGCTTTCTCTGTAGGTCCAGATTGCTCTGTAGGATGCTCTCCTCATTGAGAGCATGAGCAAAGAGGAAGAACCAACATGAGGCCTTAGAGGGAAAAACACCCAAGTAAGGTAAAAGGAGCAGTAAATTAGTTACTACAACTGCAGAATAAGAATTTTAGGAAGCTGCCAGATATCTGCAACAGGAAGAAGTGCGACCCTGGTGGGCTAGGATCACAACGTAACGGGGAGGGAGAGGGCCGGGATGAAAAGGCATCAGAGTCAGCTGGAAGGAGGATGAATGAAGTAGAGAAAGAAGGCCAGGATACGAGCTGTGTAATAGCAGAATGAAATGTTCACGGAAAATAGAATTACGTTGCTATTATGGAAGGTAGTTTGGGGTTTGCTCTCCCACAGTGCAAAATTAAGAAATGAAAACAGTGAGAGAGAAAATGAGGGCAACGGAGGACAGAAATAGGAGCTCTAAAGTGAGGATTATGGGGAAAAACTGAGAAAGAAGCCTGAACCATTGAATAGAAGAAATACCTAAAGGAATGATCAAAGAAGATATTCCCAAACTAGGAAGAACCTGCCTCTGTAAATCCAAAAGGCTCATTGTGTTGTGGGAAAAATGAAAAAGATCCACGCTGTACTTATTTTGTCATTAATAAAATTCTAACATAATGGAAGGAAAATCTTTGACTATAACAGCATAAAAGAAGTTGCCTACAAAGGAAACAGACCAGGCTGGCCTCCCTCCATTTTCTCCTCTGTGACTTCAAATGTTAGAAGACAGTCTTCAGAGTTTTGAGGGGGAGAGGTCCTGGCCTAAGGATTATGCTTTTATAGGTAAAGATGGGAGAAGTGCCTTATGGGGATTTGCAGAGCAGAGAGCCGACTGAGGTGGGGCTGTAGGGGAAGAGTTCTGGGGGAGTGGGGAAGGTCAGGAATGAGGCAGAGGACTCTTCCCATACTTGTGATGGTTTGCCTTTAAGACTGTATGGGGTGCGGGGCGCCTGGGTGGCTCAGTTGGTTGGGCGACTGCCTTTGGCTCAGGTCATGATCCTGGAGTCCCGGGATCGAGTCCCGCATCGGGCTCCCTGCTCGGCAGGGAGTCTGCTGCTCCCTCTGACCCTCCTCCCTCTCATGCTCTCTGTCTCTCATTCGCTCTCTCAAATAAATAAATAAAATCTTAAAAAAAAAAAAAAAAGACTGTATGGGGTGCAAGTGTTATTTTTATTTTTATAAGGAACATGTGGTTCTATTAAAAAAAAAAGATAAAAACCATAACCTAATAAGGTAGATCAGGAAGACATTTATTCCATCTTGTTGATGAGACATCAAGGCTGAGAGAGTGCTTCTGAAGGCTCCTACTTGACAGGATTAGGTCCAGAATCCACATGTTTTGACTTCCGTTAAATATGCCACGAGCTCTGCCAGTTCCACCATATTGTCTCTTTGGAAGGCGACAGTCCCGCTGATGGATGGCCTGCATATGGGTGGTGCCCTGGGAGCAGAGCAGATGGGAGAGGTGGATGATGGTGGGAAGCTGTGTTGGTTTGTTCATTTCTTAATTTGGTCAGCCAGCATTTCTTGAGTGTCCGGTATGTGTTGGGCACTGTGCTAGGCATGGGGATTGCAGGCATGAATCAAATGCCACCTACGTGTATTCTTCTGAGACTCAGTGTACTGCTGTGAGGGAGAAGATGAAACACAGAGTTCTGCTTGGTCAAGGCCGGAGGTAGGGGTAAGCACATACATTATGCAAAGCCTAAGCCCATCAGAATCATCTGGAGGACTTGGGAAAAGCCAGAAGGCGAGACCCCACCCCTGGAGCTCTGATTCAGTAGGTGGAGCCCAAGAATTTGCATTTCTGCCACCAAACCCTGGGATTAGTTGAGAGTTCCCGAGGCTTCGGGTTTAGGAAAAATTCATCCATCTTGCAGATTTGGAGGTTAGAGAGGATGTATTCCTTGGGACTCATTTAGGTTCTGAGACACATCTAGCCAAGCAGGATTCCCCTGGTCCCTCAGAGAAATAATTCTGAAGGTGCACACTATCTAATTTGGAGTGCCCCCATAGGTCTGTGGCTGTGCAGGGTAAAGTTAGAGTCTTGATTCTGGAAGAACCCTCGCTCCATTCATTGCTGAGCTAAGTATGGAGTAAGGGACTCCAAGTGGCCTGTGTTAACAGTCACTGTGAATGGCAGAGTCAGGAGTAGAGGGCAAGTTCCCGGATCCCCCCCCTCCGCCGCACCGTGTTCCTTTCCAACATCACCACCCTGCTTCTCACCCCTCTGTTTCCGTTAGACCTGCTGGGCAGTTATTTCCTCAGCAAGTTTGATTACTCCTATCCCCTGCCACCAGGTCCTGCAGGCAGCCACTGAAGGGTTAACTTCAGTTGGACCCGGAGCCCCGAGCCAAGTACAGAGTGTCCATTGTGCGCCCGCCCCCTCCGGAGGAGTCGCTGACTGCTGGAATGTGACAAGGCAGAAGGTTTTCACCTTGCGTCGTTGGCTTCCCTCCTCTGTGAGTGTGCGAGTGGGTGCATGTGCTCACGCTCACATGATGGCAGGGGTGCACCACGACACAACTCTCAGTTGCCTCCCAGACTCACCAAAAAAGTGAACTGTGAATTTGGGTTGGCTGGTCTGTGCTGGGAGAAGGCAGAGGGAGAACAACAGCTTTGTGTGCTGCTGAAGTAAACAGACAGGTTAGGTTTCTTTGCTCTTCCCTTTTGAAGACTTCTTTTTATTTTTTTTAAGGTGAGGGGTGCATGTGGACATGGGGGGCTGGATAATAACCCTCAGCATGGACCTTGGATTTTGCAGAGGGCGCTTGGGCGGGCAGAGCTGTAGTTGGAGTCCTTAGAACCACCGGACTTGGAATAGCTGTCAGGGGGCTAATTCATTTTCATTCAGAAAGAACTTGAAGTCCTTCAAGTGCCCAATCCTGCACTGGGTGCTGAAGCGAATGTAAGAGCTGTACAAGCACAGTTGGTCTCAGCCTGAGCCTGAATTGCAATCGAGGAAGGAAAATAAGATTCGTGTACTCAAGACAGCAAGAAGACAATGCCAGACTAGTATTTAGTGGCAAGCTATGCAGCCGGGTGCAGTGTAAGTCAGGCCAGGGAGCGAATGCTGTGGTCCAGAGTTTATAAAATGTTGCCATGGAGAAGTGAAGGCTTGGGCATGACCTTGGAATAAGGGAAGGCTTGGGTCTGTATGTTTGTTTGTTCCTTTGCGCAACAAACATTTGGTGAGGACCAACTTACCAGTCATTGCATGGGTTGGTGGAAGGAGATACAGAAAAGATTCTATAAAAATACCAAGGTGGAAGAATTCTGTGTGTTAATGCCACTGTGCAGACTGGTTTGATTTGAACAGGGAATGTGAGTTCCAATGAGCCCTAGGACTGGATTCTTCAAGTGAGACCAGTGTGCAAAGTCTGGAAGTGATGTGTTCCTGAACACTGGGATGATTTGAAACTGCATTACTGTTTGATCTCTGGTATTTATCATGTCATACTCAGACTGGTCTGGTTCAGGTCCCCGTGCAGCAAGAATTGAATTTCAGCTGAGCCTCCTCATGGTCCCCCTGCCTCTACTATCAGGTTCTATTAATCCATCCCTTACACTACATGCTGGAATTATCTTCCCAAAGCACAGCTTTGATAGTGCCCCTTTCCTACATCCCTTAAATGGCTTCCCATTACCTGTAAGATAAAATCCAGCTCATTAGCATTGCATGCAAGGGTGTTCGTGATCTGGCTGTAACCTTTTATCTCCAGCTTTACCTTTCACCAGTCCCAATTTTGTACAGCATCTCCTGGCTGAACATCAACATTCTCTTTCCTGAGCATGACCCTGCAGGTTCCTGCCCCAGGCCTTGCCTCATGCTGTCCCTTGTGTCTTCGTTCTTCCCACTCTACCTGTTGAAGCCCCTGAAGGTCAAAGCCATTTTCTGTGCTCGCCTTGAAACCTTTCTGTGTGCTTTCCCATCGATTTATCTCTACTTTGCCCAAGGGGGAAACGTTTTCTCTTTCCTTTGTTTCTCTCCTTTACTATAGGACATGTAAATATCTGCTCTGTTTCAGTTATTTTCCAGATCTCTCTTCAAGAACATAAGCTCCCTAAGGAAAGAGATTGTATTTCCATTGTCATCTTAGGGTCTTGACTGGAGGAGCACTGAAAAACAGATTGTTGGATTTTCATGTTTTGTGGACCTCTTATGACTTGAGCTTTAAGTGTTGGAGCATGGTCTTCTACAAATTAGTTAATGATTTATACCATCAACCCTAAGGAACTCTTTTTTTTTTTATTAGATTTGGTTACTTTTATTTTTTTAAATTTTTTTATTGTTATGTTAATCCCCATACATTACATCATTAGTTTTAGATGTACATCAACCCTAAGGAACTCTTACAAGGGAATCTTTTTTTAATGGAAGATACTGTCTTAATAATATGCCCATTTCACACTGCTTTCCATTCCTCTAAAGTTAGATTTCATCATCTTCTGTTGCAGCACAGAACCTGCAATAGACGTTCTAAGTTCCAAATGGATTTAGTCTAGGAACTTTTAGTGGAGAACTTGCCTCACTTTTTCCCTGACACAAGGATAACTTTGTAGGCTGTGCCAGGGAATTAAAATGTACACTGAAGATTCCTGCCAGAGGAAGTAAACCACCAGACATGACCATGAAAAACACGGCTTGCAGTTTGGATGGATTTGGGGTACAAGCTGAGAAAGATCTTTTGGACAATTGCTGCTTGACAACAGGAACACTTTCTAAGGCATCCGGATGTCTCCTCCAACATCTAGTATGGTCCTCGACACCAAAATGAATGTTGACTTGAATACGACTTTTTAAAAAATTATATAAAGTTTTGGGGAGGTAGGCAAATCAAGTCTAGATGAGACAAATGATCTTATAAGTAAAAGAATCTTTCATTGGCATCGGGTCTCACTGCCCTCCCCAGCCCCTAAGTGGAGACTTGGTCCATTTGGAGCCTGGGGCACAGGTGACTGTTCAGTCTTTGTGTGACAAATTCAGTGAAGATGCTCTTACTCTCACTCGGACAAGCCTCTTCTAGAAATGCTGCGTTCGTTCATCGGCTTTTCCCCTAAGAGGATGCAGTTGTAAATGTGTCTTTCTGTAGGGCCGAGCAGTTTCCAGGAGCCGAGTACGCACCTGGGCGCCTCTGGGGAGCAGGTTCATGTTGAAACCCTGGCTGTCTTGCTGGCTAGCTTCCTCACAGGATGTCAACTGAAAATGTCCTGATTCCAGAGGGAGAAAATACGTGGCCGGTCTCCAGGCTTCGTTTTTCGCTGTTCTGAATGTGTCTTTGCAGTTGTTGTTGGGCATTTTCTGGTGGGCACATGTGCTGGTTAATACCTTACATTGCTCACCCCGAAGGTGTGGGGTAATGTCTTCTGCTGGGAAACCTCAGAGTTCTGAGCCATTTAAGAAGGCTTGAGTGTGATCTTACCTGCAGCCTAAGGGTGGAAGGAGACAAAGCCTTGAAGTTTTGTGCGGCCTCAGGGCTCTCAATTTTCTCTTGAGGAGGAGCATTGGGCTTCCTTTGGGGCTTTGAAAATGATGAGTCTGAAACTGGGAATAATGGGACATGTGGTGAGTAAGGGTGAGGGATAGTTTAGCTGATCCTATGATAGTCTAAAGAGAACCTGACTGATGTTTCTGGTTTCCTCTGGGAGGAAGGCAGAATCAAAGATCCCCGGGGGTGGGGAGAGGTGGGGAGGGGCGGTGGGGAGAGCCATTCCTGACATTTCCAAAGGCCTGTGAAAACCTCTTTCTCTTTTTTGTTGTCGTGTAGACAGAATGCTACTTCATTTCAGGACCAGAAAGGGAATTAAAACTGTCTTGGACGGCTATTTTTATCTAAATAATTGATCATGATGAAATATCTTTTGTGTGGACAGAAACATTTTTTAGCAATTGTTTTGCATTAATCACAGCATTCAAAGTGCTTTTCCACTGAACTCTTTATGTTTTCCTCTTTCAAGCCTGCATCTAAGCTTTGCGTCTGTTTTAAGAAATAAAGATAATTTTGTGTAATTGAAATAATTTAGCATGAAAAATGATAAAGAAAGAATGGTCAGGAGGTTAGGTGAGTGTCCTTCCACCAAGATGACAGAGGGTTTCACCCTGACAGCTCGGGGGGCGGGCTGTGTTGTGTTCAGTTTGCAAACTGTTCTTCACGTGTGAGAGGGAAGTGGTGCAAGAAGCCATCCCAGTGCCATTCCCACAGACCTGCCTCAACACTTCAGACTTCCCTTTCGTCATGGTTGGTTTTGGTGGTGACTCAGCTCGCTGTGGCTTCAGTATAAAAAACTTCTAGCTTGTTATTGGACTGGAGGACTGGCTTCTCTTCTCTTTATTCTTGGGCCCATAGCCATAAAAATTAACAATTCAATGAAGGGCTGTGTGTGTGTGCGTGTGTGTGTGCGTGTGTGTGTGTGTGTTTCCCTCACTGCCAATAGAATCCAATTTGGGGATATGCATGTTCTGTTTGATTTTTTTCCCATCACTTTTTTTTTTTTTTCTGATGGCCATAGATTAGAGGGAAGGGGCTTCTGGAACTTAGGTTGAGTTCCTTTTGAGGTCATTTTCCTTCCTGCCACGTCTAATTAATGTCTCTGCTTCTCAGTTGCAGATCTGACCTCTTCTGAACACGTGGCTGTGTCTGCATCCCTGGGACTCTGAACCCAGCAGCTGGACCACTTTGTCCTTGGGATTTTGGACGTCCTCTCTTCTCACCTTTCCCTTTCCCCCTCTTCCGTCCCACCTCCTGAGAACTCCTGAAGACTGTAGGATTGTCATGGAGTCCAGGGAGATCTTAAGCAGCTCCCGGCAAAGGGGGGACGAGTCGGAATTCCTGCCTGTCTCCTCGAACAAGCCCCCAGCTGCTCCTGGCTGTGCAGGCGAACCTTTGCTCTCTGCTCCAGGAGCTGGGAAGGGGATCCCAGTGGGCGGAGAACGCATGGAGCCGGAGGAGGAGGATGAACTGGGCTCAGGGCGAGATGTGGATTCCAACTCAAACGCAGACAGCGAGAAATGGGTTGCAGGAGATGGCCTGGAAGAACAGGAATTTTCTATCAAGGAGGCAAACTTCACAGAGGGGAGTCTGAAGCTGAAGATTCAGACCACCAAGCGGGCTAAGAAACCCCCAAAGAATCTGGAGAACTATATATGCCCGCCTGAGATCAAGATCACCATAAAGCAATCTGGCGACCAGAAGGTGTCCCGTGCTGGGAAAAATAGCAAAGCCACGAAGGAGGAGGAAAGAAGCCACTCCAAAAAGAAGGTAGGGAACCCTGTTTTGTAGGCTTTTTGTTTATTCATTTTTGCATTCTCCCTCCAACTGTTAAAGGTCTGTGTGCTTATTACATATTTATTTTGGAATTATCAATCTCTTTGATGGAATACTTAGTGCCCTCCAGGAGAAATGCCTCTGATATCTTGGTACAGTGTCTAATTTATTATTGTATCTTCTACCCACATGAAAATCAATAGCCTCTAGAATTATAATTCTGGAGCATTCCTATTTATTGTGTAGCCACCAATTGACTGGGTCGGACCTGGCTAACCTGTGACAAAATATTTGCATCTTTTCGTAGAGTTAAGCGTGGGATGTTAAAAATTTTTGGTCAATCATAACAGTCAAGAACCTATATAACCTCCTTTTGGTTTCAGTTACTGCTGTAAGTCTTTCTAAAATAGGCAAGTCACTCACTGGACTGAGGAAGCCATCTTCATAGGATTTAGGCTGCTAGAAGGCTAAAAGATCATTGCTCTGAAAACCAATGGTGAGCCCTGGAGCTCAAGCTAGAGAAAGAAAAAGGGGCTGGTGACTGACCCTAATCACTGTTTAACACAGTGTAGATTTTTTAAGACTGGGCATTGAATACACTCAGTTGGTTGTCATTTTCCTCCTAAAAGTCAAACAGGTGACAAGCAGCTCTCTAGGTGGTGTCATTTGGTTGGGAATGAATGGGTCTAGGTTTCATTGTATTTATATCACATCATGTTTATATCACAGTGACCTCCCTTCTTGGGAGGGGTATGGCACTCAGCCATGATAGCAGGGGATGGCCCTAGTCTGGGAAGTGTTTGTCCCTAAAATTGTCTGGGGCTGGTGAATGCCTCTGAAAGGGGCCCTGTTGTTTTCAGAGGTTTTAGGTTCAGAGTGGTAAGAGTTCATCAGTGTCTTTGTAACTTTTCCCCACATCTGATTTATTTGGGCTCTGGATATGATGGATTAGCTAAAAATAGCACATATGAATGACCCTCTCTCCTTTATGACTCAGAGATAATCTGTAACATTTATGTTTCTAGTGGTTTTTGAGCTTCTCAGCAGTCGCTCTCAATAGAACTGCTAGGAATCATGTTCTTTCTTTGGTGTAGGGCTTGTGTCCTTCCTCATGCTAAGTGTTTTGGCTGATATGTTGCATTTAAAATCCAAAGACTTGGATAAGAAGAGATTTCCTAGGGTGACCAGTGCCTTTCAGTTTGTTCAGACTATCCCAGTTTTAAAACCCAAAGTCCTACATCCAGGAGCCCTTTCAGTCTTGGGCAAGCCAAGACAGTCGGTCGTCTTATTTTGACATTTGGAACATGCAGTAATTTTTAGAAGTTGGCTTGTTTTTACAGAACATAGAGGTAGTGCTTTCCCTCCCCTGTCCTCATGACAAGTTGTGGTGGTTTCTGGGGTCTCTGTCATAAAACCAAAGATTTTCTAGATGCTTGTGGAACCTCCTGAAATTCTTGGAAGAGAATGCAACAGTTCAAATTAGGCTCCACTTAGAAAGTGAGGCTTTGCTTTGGAGTCGGGTCTCTTCAGCTTTGAAAATGAGTATCTTTGTCTCTGGCCACCGAGATGGCCGGTTCTTTGTGTATTGTCGGATTTTTGTGTGGGTGGGCAGTCTCGAAAACTGTGGTAACTGTTTTCGCTCCATCCCCCTCACTGCCAGGACTTGAGCAACAGCCCATGGTTTGGGGTGTGCAAACTCAAATTCATTACCCTAGAAAGAGCTACGTTGTCCTGATCAGATATGACCTTACCTACAGCCACAGGACTGTTCCCAGAGATAGCCTTCTGCCTCTTTGAATGCCCCAGAATAAAATTCTGGATTTTGTGACACGGGGATGATTTCGAAGCTGCAGTGTGCAATGGACCTCCATCCTCAAATCCGAAATTCTCAGGCTTGGCGTCCTCACCCAAAAAGCCGGATGCCCTTTGTGTGCTTTATTGGAAAGAGAGGTGAAATCACTTCTTTGAATGTGTGACTTACGAAGTAAGTGTTTCTAAGTCTTAGGAATTGGAAAGGAGAGAAAGGAAGGGGAAGGACTGAAATTTAGCTCACAGTGCTGCATTATGCTGACACTATAAAGGGAGGATCTATAAAAATTTTAAATTCCTAAGCTTGCTTCACACTGCACTTCTCCATCCTTCCTACCTTTATTTATGCCTGGAGCTATTACTTTCCAGAAATGAATGCATGAAGTTATCAGTACTGAGTTTTAATCACTTGATAGATGATAGAAACATTCTCTGATCTCTATTGGATTAGAGTGTTAACTTTATTACTCTGCAGAGTTCCTGTTGGTTTGAAAAGACGGAGTTAGCAAAAGCTGAACTTGAGGTGAAGTAGAAACTGCGCTTACCGTTTCAGTGCTTGGAAGAATTCACTTATTCGTATGAATGTGAAATACGTGATCAGTAACTGGGGGTGGGGAAAGGATGAGGATGGTATTTGGTAAGCAATGAGTGTCTGACTCTAAAATCTAGTCTTCTGGATTTTTTTTTTTTTTTAAGCAAACTCTACCCCCAACGTGGGGCTCAAACTCATGGCCCTGAGATCAAGAGTCTCATGCTCTACTGACTGAGCCAGCCAGGTGCCCCCCACCCTTTTTTTTTTTCTAATGAGGCAAGCCACTCATTGAAGTATTCATGGAGTGGCCCCTGGGACCCAGGTCCTACGTTGGGAGCGAGGAGGGAGGCTTTGTTGAGCTGATCCTTGAGTTGGTAGAGATGCCCACTTGGGAGTCACCTGAATATACATGCTGACTTGGAGCAGGGGTCGGCAAACTGTAGTCTGTGGGCCAGATCTAGCTCCTGGCCTGTTTTTGTATAGCCCGCAAGCAAAGAATGGTTGGAAAAAAATCAAACAAAGAATAATATTTTGTAACATGTGAAAATTATATGAAATTCAAATTTCAGTGTCCATAAATACAGTTTTATTGGACCGGAGCCACATCCATTTGTTTACATTTTGTCTGTGACTGCTTTTGCACTAAAACGGCAGAGTGGAGTGGTTGTGACAGAAACTGTATGTCCCACAGAACTCAAACTATGTACTATCTGGCCTGTACCAAAGGGGGGAAAATATATATATATATTTATATGTATTTGTTGAGCCTTGGTTTAGGGAAAGGACATAGAGTTTCAGGATAACAAGACTCTAGCATTCATGTTCGGTTTTGATTTTAATGATTCCACCTCCAAACTTGGAGGCTGGGGGAAATTGGGTGCTACATCATTATGTGCTTTTTTTTTTTTTCAGATCAATTAATTTTATTCAAGTCATTGTTTGACAGCCTTAGGCAAAGATAGCTCATATTGGATCCCAAATGATTTTCTTTTTCATTGGTTTTTAAAAAGCATACTCCTTAGGATAATGATAGCATTCCTTACATATCACAGCTAGTGTTTTGCTAGGCTAACTGTATTTCTGTGTGTTCTGCTACTTTGGGGGGAAGATGTATACGTGTGGCATCCTCAAGAGCTTTATTCCAAGTTTCAAACCTAACACCAATCCTCCAAACTGGAGAGAGCCATTATAGTTGTCCAGGCAACATGGCCCCTTGAGTGGTAGGATGGTAGGAGGGGACCCATGAAGATACCTCTTCACTGGCTCAAGGATGCATGGACTCTTTCCAACCAGGGGTCAGCTCTCCTCTCTTCCATATGAAATTAGGATGGCCATTGAAAATGGAAGTGGGTTTATGGTGAATGCATTTATGTGAGGTGTAAGAGCAACATTTGGTGAGAAGTGGAGGCTAAGAAGAGCATTCAGAATATATTCCAGGACCTCAGAATTGTCCTTTGGATGGACCTGCTTTGCAGATGGACTCAGTAAAGGCAACTCCCTCCTTACATCGTTGCATGTTAGAGTCAGCCAGGCAAGTGAAGTAACATAAGCTTCATGTACTTCCCTTCTAGGTCACTCAATCCAAACAATAGAAAACATGAGACTGAATCTCTAGAAGCAAGTATAGCATGTGAGCATAGAATGTTCCAACAGTGACAGGTTTTTGAAAAGCTCTCAGGTGGGCAGAGCTTAGCAGCTCTCCTCTTTCCTGTGGACTTCCCGTGGGAGTCAGGGACTCCCATCCAGATTCAACAGCATGAGAGGAAGAGGGGACTCTTAGACCAGCTCCCTTCAGTGACCCAGGCTGGGAAATGTGGGTGGTAATCTGCACCAACTGGCTTGGTGGCTTTGCATCTGGAGTATAACCTTGTTGAAGCCCCAGTTTCTTTATCTGTCAAATAGAGAAGATAATTTCCACATGATATAACTCAATGGAAGATTTTAGGAAAAATGGGTAATCGACAGAGCACACATAGTAATAACCAGTTCGGATCTATGGAGCTCTGTGGCAGGCCCTCTGCTAGCTATTTTATATGGATTCATCTTCACTGTTAGTCCTTACAACAGTCCTGCCAGGCAGATACTACCTACTTACAGATGAGGAAATTGAGGCTCATTTGCTTCAAAAAAGCAGGAACCCAAATGGGCAGGGTTGGTCTTTGAAGCTGGTTCTTCTGTATGCCAAACCTAAGGCTATATTCCAGTCCCAAAGTGACCACACTCTAAAAGACCTCTGGAAGGTAGGATCTAAGCACTGGGACATTTCTTGCACATCTTCCATGTAAGTTAGGGTGACAGGATCATCATCTGGTATATTGTCCTTAATTCCAAGTGTTCCAGGATATTGGAGAGAAAATTCAAAGCCTCATGAGTTAAAGTTTTGTTTTTTTTTCCTTTGTTCTGCTTTTGACCAAAATACAACTTCTTTGGATTTAGTTTTCCCTTTTCCCAGCTTCATCAGGAGAACCTGTTTCCTCCAACAGCAAGGACTTTAACCCTATATCCACCAGTGGCCTGCTCTAGTCCTAGAAACATGCTCGGGATTTGTTCTTGGCAATCCCCCTACACCATCTTCATATGTCTATGGAAAGACTCGAGCATTTTGCTCTGAGCACTCCTGACCCTCTCTTAGGAAGTTCAGTGGGTCAGACAT